GTTTTTGACCGAACCGCACCATGCTCACCCCTAGTTGTCAGGGTCAGATCTATGTGGATTTCGGCCGCTCTGTGCTGGCTATCTTTATCCCCAACCCAACCCAACTCAACTTAACAATTACAAATTATTTCTCTTTCCTCTACCTACAAAACTCAATCTTCCAACCCAATTTATCTTTATTCATAACCTAACTCAACTTAAATATTTATTTTATTTTAATTTATTTAAAAATTACAATTGTGTTCTAAAATATATCAAGTGTGGTCTCTATTTGTAGAGAATAAAAAAATACGAATTTTGATATTTTTTTTATTTTTTTTAAATACAAAAAATTACACTTGTGCAATAAAAATGGAACAAGTGTCCCATTTCAATACAAAAACTGGTTGCGACCCGAGGTTACAATGTGACCTGGGTCGCGCGCATCAGTGCCCTTTTCCTTTTTTTTTTATTTTTTTTTTTTTTTTTTTTGTTTTAATTTTTTTTTTATTTTTTAATTCCGTGACCCCTCCCATTGGGTCACGGATAAAGGTGGCCTTATAGGTTTACAAGTTACAATCTCACTTATTAGTACGATCGGCTTTGCATGGTGGGACCTACCCCAATGATCACTTTTGGCAGTACGACGAACCTAAGTCTTGTCTACATTAAGGGTCAGTTTAGTTGAATTTTTTGATTAGGCTTGATATAATAGTGTTGGGCCCAGTTTTATGTAATAAACTATCACTTAAATATGTTGTTTGGTTTCAGATTTCACTTGTTGATAGGGATGAAAACGATCGGAAACGATCGGCATAGGGCTCAACCATTTCCACTTTCATATTTTTTTCTCGAAAACGAAAATGATACGGTAATGTCGGAAACGAAAACGACATCGGTATTCCGGTAATATCGAAAACGAAACTATCCGATCGAAAATACATCGATAACGATTGAAATATATCAAAACGGTATTTAAAAAATGATAAACACACCACATTATAAAATATAGCATTAAAACATTAATTGAAATATTCTCATGGCATAATAGTAGCAAAATCCAAATTAAAATCCACACTGTTTGCTATAACAAAATCCATACAAATTCCAATAACTAGCAATTGAATTGACTTGTCCACCAAAGTGGGGTAGGCGGCGGCAGCTGGAGCCTGTAGCGGCTGGTGCGGTTGCGACGTTGATGGGAGTGGGCGCGACAGCGACGAGCAGGTGACGGGAGTGACAACGAGCAGGCGTGGCGAATTGCGATGTCCGTCGGCCGATGGAAGAGATGACAGACTCCTAGACGAGACTCGAGAGTGAAGACCGAACGGGATGAAGGGGATTTGGGCACTGTAGATGCGGTTGCGACGGTGATGGGAGTGGGGCGCGGCAGCGACGAGCAAGTGACGGGAGTGGCAACGAGCAGACGACGAGCAGATGGGAGAGACGACAGACTCCCAGATGAGACTCGAGAGTGAAGATCGAAAGGGATGAAGGGACTTCAGGATTTGGGCACTGTAGAAGGGTTGGGCTGAAGGGAATTTGGACATTTGGCCCATTTGGGTTTGGATTGGGCTTTATAATTAAAAGTGAGCCTAGTATGGGTTGGGCCGGTATTACCGACGGTAAAATACCGTTTAAATACGGTAATTTTCGAAAACGATCGGAAAAGGGCTAAACCGTTTTCGTTTTTATTTTCGAATTTTTTTACCGTTTCCATTTCCGTTTTTCCGGTTACCGTTTCCGTTTCCGTTTAGCCTCCAAATCCGAAAAAATTTCGAAAACGATTCCCGATAATCAGAAATTACCGTTTCCGTTTTCATCCCTACTTGTTGATACTCCGTGGAAAACACAATATGTTGTTTGGTTTATTCCTTCTTCAGCGAGATTTCACCGATTAAACACACAAACTTTTTCATTTGTTCCCATCTTGATCAAATTTCGCCGATGACCTCTACGAGTGAGACTTATCAATTTGGAGAGTGAAAAAGTCTCTAGATTATAGTATTAGGGCGGCACCACCACCGAGGTTCTTTCCGATGATTTGCAGCTCCCAACCAACACGGCGTCCTTCTGAGCGAAGGGATGGGGTGAATCGAGGTTGCGGCTGCGGCTGTTCTTCTCTCCG